ACTTACGAAAAGTCTCCGCAAGGACCGTGAACAGTGGTGGGCGACAAAAGCCAAAGAGATGGAGAAAGCTTTGAGGATAGGCAACACCAGGCAACTCTTTGGACTCATCAGGGAAACGGGTGGGAGAAGACAAATCATTAGTGAGACAATCTCGGAAAAAAATGGCACTATAATTAGCTCACAGGATAGACGACTGGATCGTTGGAAAGAGCATTATGAGGAGCAGTTTAATTTGCCCACAGCCACGCTCAACCTTCCGAGCATCCAACACCTCCCTGAATGGGATATAGATACAGGTCCTCCGTCACTAACTGAGGTTACTAAAGCTGTCACCAATCTGAAACTAGGCAAAGCAGCGGGACCTGATGGAATGACTCCAGAGGTATTTAAGTACGGTGGAGACAGCTTACTGTCCGGATTAACTGAGGTACTAGGCAGCGTCTGGGAATCAGAAGAAGTCCCATCGGGTTGGTGTAAGTCACTGATTATCCCCATATACAAGAAGGGAGACAAGTCTTCCTGTGATAATCACAGAGGGATTAGCTTGACTAATATAGTATCTAAAGTCTTAGGCTCAATAATCATGCGTAGACTGAGTGGTGCTCGGGAAGCACAAACACGAGAGAGCCAGGCAGGCTTTAGACCAGGAAGAGGGTGTATTGATCATATCTTCACCCTCCGACAGATTCTAGAACATAGGCATTCCTACCGGCGTCCAACAGTCATTATATTTCTTGACCTAAAGGCAGCATTCGACTCTGTCGATCGGGAAGTTCTCTGGAGATGCTTGGCTGTAAAGGGAATTCCAAGAAAATATATTGCACTGATTAAGGCACTCTATTCGTACTCATACAGCCAGGTGAGGGCTTACGGCGAGCTGTCATCTGAACTGATGACGACCAGTGGTGTCCGTCAAGGATGCCCATTATCTCCTTTTCTATTCAACTTCATCATAGATGTGTTAATGGACTTAACCCTAGGTGACTTCAGCGATTCAGGGATTGACTTGCTACCTGGGAATAATCTCGTTGACTTGGAATATGCAGACGATATAGTCCTTCTAGGCGAAGACGCTGACGAAATGCAGAGTCTTCTAAACACCTTGAACAGCAATCTACGAATGTTTGGCATGCGATTCGCTCCCGCCAAATGCAAGATGATGTTACAGGACTGGACTACATCGACGCCTAGTTTAAAAATAGGAAGTGAAGTGGTAGAGCACGTTGACCGCTTCACTTATTTGGGAAGTACCATCAGCCCCAACGGGCTGATCTCTGACGAAATCTCAGCACGAATACAAGGGGCTCGTTTCGCATTTGTTAGTTTACGCCGACTCTGGCGTAGACGAGATGTTCGACTATCGACCAAAGGGCGGGTGTACTGCTCATCAGTCCGCTCCGTCCTCCTTTATGGTTGTGAGACCTGGCCACTGAGAGTGGAAGACATGAAAAGACTAGCTGTCTTTGATCATAGGTGCCTGCGTTCTATTTCCCGTGTAAAGTGGCATAATAAGGTGAGCAACATGGAGGTTAGGCGTAGAGTTCTAGGTAAACAGGGGAAATCAATCGACGAAGTCGTGAAGCTACAAAGACTGAGATGGTTAGGACATGTGTTACGTATGCCAAGCCATCGCCTCCCTCGACGAGCTATGTTAGCGGATATAGGGTCAGGCTGGAAAAAAGCTAGCGGCGGTCAAACAAAAACTTGGCATCAGTCAATGAAATCCACAACAGTTGGTCTAAGCCACGTAGGAAGGTGTAGACTTCCAGGCTGGGGTCCTCGGGACGGTAAAAATCTATGGTTGGAAACAATTGGTGACATGGCTCAAAATCGTTCTCAGTGGCGCAGATGCATCCACTCCCTGTGACTTATGATCTTCAATGAAACTGTTTTGTATTTCTTTATTACTCCTTTGTCTCACACCTCTGCTCACTGTTTCTATTATGCTTTTCTTGTACTTTCTTCTCTTGCTTCGCGTGCTACACGGAATGTGGCGACTTGAACTTCCGCACATTTGTGCAAAGTTCTATGTCGAAAACAGACAGACAGACAGACAGTATGAGCAACACATAATTTCAAAGTGGATGTAAATGGAAAATTATTTAGTATTAAAGGAGCAGGACGCACCCACTGGGGCTCGAACCCAGTACCTTCCGGTCACAAGACAAGCTCGTATATCATTCAGCCACTGGGACACGATTCAATGGCTCATGAATTCTAACTTCTACCAATTCATGATTCAGCGCAACCCCAACCGTGATCAACCCTTACAAACCAAAGTATAGAAAATTAATCTGGTGCTCGCTAGTGAATTCCTACAGGATGGAGTTTCCTGGAGTTCTAGGGAGTATTTGTGACCAGTAAGGTTCATTCAGATGTCACATGTCAGGATGGATGTCCGACCTACGACAGCGGTTGGGGTCGTGCTAAATCACAAGTTGGTAGAAGTTAGAATTCATTGAATCGTGTCGCAGTGGCTGAATGGTATACGAACTTGCCTTGTAACCGGAAGGTCCTAGGTTCGAACCTTGGCAGTGTGTGCGTACTGCCGATTATCCCCAAACTAGGATGAAACAGCTATCCAGTACTCAATGGTTCTCTAGTTGATATCAATCTGTGATCAATTCGTAAAAGCAAAACTAATTCTTACAAACCAAACTATTGTAAGTTAAAAGAGTAACTATTTATGTTGTAATCAGGCAAATGGGTGGAATTCAGATACAAGACAGAACAACAGAGTTAATTTATACATATTATTTTGGAGAAGGAGTTCAAGAGGTGGGGATGAATAGTGAAGTAAAATTATGATAAAAATAATTATAATTACTATAATTTTACTTCACTATTCATTCTCACCCTCCTAAACTCCATCTCTACAAAAATATGTATAAATTTACTCTATTGTTCTGTCTTGTATTTTGTCTCTAGTCCATCTGAATTCCAACTCTTTGTCTAATTACAACATAAATAGTTACTCTTTTAACACATCAACTTTGAAATTATATGTTGCTCATACTTTCTATGTATAAATGGAAGTCATTGTAAAAAGAGTATGTTCAGACACCATTTTGTAACGTATAATTGATTTACTTAAGATGTAGGCAGTTGAAGAGAACGCACGAAATGAAACGAACTCGTATTATTCTGCAAAAATGTCTGTTCTTTCTTTATTTGAACGAATAAAGGGAACTAACTGTTTGATATGTGTTCAGAAATGTGGGGATTAACTCTTCTCTTTGTTCTTCCAACTTATGTTCATTGCCATGTACATGTTCATTTTTCGACACAGATGGAGGTAACATAAGGTGGGAGTTTAGCTGACACTCTTGATAGTCTTAAACAACTGATCGTTTGATACAGACATGCAAGCTTAGCAGTTGTGTATGTTTTTTGTCAGGGTAGCTCTCAGTCTGCATACTATTTTGCTAGCAGTATTATCACCTCTGGAGGCAAATTGTAGAAAGACAGATAGTATAAATGGATTTAGAGGATGAGAGACACGTGATAGATAGTCTGTAATCATCGGTTCTTAATATATTGAGAACGTTGATTAGAAAATTTAAGTTTTGCTACTTAGGATAACGAGCTACACCTGTTATGTGGGGAGTTGTAATATTGGCTGAATTTTATTGGGTTGAAAGGGTTTCGAATTTATTAGCCAAATGGTTGAATGTGTAGAATGCATAGATGAATGTATTACAGCTCTAAAAACCTCCTCTGTCGCTACTTTGTCTCTGCGTGGCCACTGTTATGCTTAGTACGGTTTAATAGCAATACAGCTACCTTCATTGCAGTGATCCAGTATTTGCAATATGAGTTTGATGTAGTGTTTTATTGACTGGTTTATTTTCTTTATGTACTTCTGTTCCTTTTAATCTTAGGATTTTTTCAGTAAACTTTCAGCATCTTAAACTTTTGTGGTGTATTTCAGTATACCTTTTCTGAAGTTAAATTTCAGTTTTGGATTACAACGACGGTTAGGGAGTTGATGGTTTTCTTACTGCCTTTTTGGTTTGTCCATTACTAGGGTTTTCCTCACCTACAAGCACTATTCATTCAGAAAAGTGTAACCAAGTATACACAACACCTTGTCACATCCAACATTCTCAACCGCAGATAGTTAATGATTTAAGGTTTGCCTTCCTTCATACTATTTAGGTGAAATCTGGTTAGGCTTGCCACTCATGAGTTTTGTGCTTCTCATACACCTGGCTTTGGACCAAACTGCATGTACTCTTATTCGGTAGACTTGCTCCCGAGCTTCAGCATTGTTAATATATCGCTACTTTGACCGGGGTACTTAGCTTGTTATATGCTCTGATAGTATTCCCATGACTTTTCGCTTGCTGATCTACTAAGCTCGATAAGATAATGCGAGGTCTAATGGTTGTAAGCGATCATTTGAAGGGGACTGCATGCTATGCTATATTCATGCTCCCCAACCTAAGAAATGTTTTATTCTAGTGGCTGAATAGTCAACAAGCTTGCCTTATAACTTGAATTTCGTAAGTTCGATCCCTGGTGGGGTTATGGAAAGCGCATTACATATTAGTGGAGCTGAGATTTGTTTGTCTAGGTGTCTGACTTCAAACTATTCGGTCAGCAGTACTGACGAAGAGTCCCAGACTAGGACGAAACAACTGCACAGTACTCCGACGTTTTCCAATACTTCTCTAACCGATATCAGTTCATGATGATTTTTGTTATTAAAGTGAGCGTATTGAATTTCCTATGAAAAACAAAAAGAAAAGTTACTGAGTCTGGTTTTTTTAAATATCGACGTAAACAGTGTGCTTTTTTGTCTGATATACTGGTAAACGTTTGTTAGAATCTATGGTTTTGCTTCGAAGTTTGTCAAATTTATCATATATATATATATATATATATATATATATGACACGTGTGTCTAGGTATTATCAAGCTGTCTAATATAATTAGATTGTCACATGTTTTAATGTCTTCGTTGTTGTTGTTTTTTTCAAAACTGTTTCTCTATTTAGTGTGTGTAAGGATTATCGAGATACATGTAAACGTTTAATGAATCGTTTAACGTCTAGTGTGAGTCAGGAGTTAAAAAGTCATACATGGTCTGTGGATTTTGCACCAACGCCTAGTAACATCATTTGGTGAGTGTTTTCTGTTGTTGTTGTTGTTGCTGTTTTCTTTTATAAAATAAAACGAGATTTGCTGTGTAATTGAATAATAATTTAATTTGAAGATAAATTATGTAAACTAGTTGAGGTGGGTGCTGGGGGTGGTAAGTTCTTCGCGGAAGGCCCACTAAGCATTTATTTTATTCCTTCACGTTCGTATTGGAACATAGGGCTTCAAGATAGAGCTTTGTGGTTTCGGTAGCAGTGGTATTTATTTTTACGGGGTGAGGTTGCTGGCCATCCTCATGCCCAACCTTCTCTCCTTTTGCCTGACTTACTATCGGCTTAACAAGATAAAGAAGTGCGTCGACGGGAAATCGAACCCTGGACTATATGCGTGCTTGGCGAGCGTTCTAGAGAGAGGGATTATTGATGACGTGGTTTAAAATGCTTTGATTGTGGATAAAATTTATCTTGATAAATTCTCACAGTGTCATACAGTAATATTTCTGGCACAGTTTATCGCCGCTCATAATCATATCAAGTTACTCAAACAAGTTTCTAACTTCATTTATATGATTCCACTATTTCTCATATCTTGATTTGATTGGTGGTAGTATTTTCAATATTTCTGGTATGAGTGATGAGTCATTCCTATTGCACCTGTCGGGTGTAGATTCTGTGATCAAAACTCAGTAATTTAGAAAAATGCTCAGCAGTCGCACTGCATACACTAACACACAACCACACAATAGGGTGGGAGAGAGTCAAAATTCTAAAAAGTAATCTAGATGGATGGAGAGAGAGGTTGATTACTGAAGCCTTGTTTATAGAATCTACACCCCACACGTGCAATAGGAATGGCTTATCACTCATACCTGAAATATGGAAAATACTACTACCAATCGAATCAAGCGAAGGAAAATAATGGAATTATATAAACGAAGTTAGAAAGTTGTGTGAGTAGTGCCTTGATATGATTATGAGCGGCAGTAAATTGTGCTCGAAACGTCATCATCAGTAAATATGACTGTATAACACTCTGAGACTTTATCAAAATAAATTTTACTCACAGTGGAATTATCCTCTACTACAGCTCACAGATTCTATTCTTATATTAATAGCTCAAAATAGTTTCCAATGGCATACATCCATCCACACTTTGTGATGATATCTCAAATCCATTATATTGTCAATTCTTTTCTCCTTTACATTTCTGTACATTAAAGCTTCATCTTTTTTGGGTGATTTGGCGCGTTGTGGCAACTTGAATTGCTGTTCTTTTATGCAAGATTCCAAACTAAAAATTCGCTTCATCTTCAAATTAGTAGATTCAGACTAACTGACTGCATTTCAACATAGAACTTTGCACAAAAATGTAGTGGATGAAGTTGTCACACTGCATATAGCATATAAAGCCAGTCGAAAGAAGTAAAAAACAGATTTAAAAATAACAATAATTATTATTATTGTCATGTATAATGAACAGATGTGTACAGGACAGAGAATATTAACATGGAAAAACATAATGGTTTAGTGGATAAAGGGGATCACACAGAGTGTATTCATCTGACCCATGTCACCAATAGTTCCAAGACATTCGTTGTTTTAGGATCCCGAGGACCTGAATAAGACAGTCTGCATCTCCCCACTTGACTAGCTCAAACCATTTGTTAAAGACTACATGGATAGATGCCAGGTTGTGGTTTAAACAATCCTAACTGTTTTCCAAACTAATCGAATGTCGACTGCAATTGCTCGTCTAGGCAGGTAGTGGCTCAACATGTGCAACACATATCCTAGCCATTTCAATCGAGGTCACTTCACACCGTCATCGATTGACTTACCTTTCCAACCTGACACTCTAAGCCTAACGTCAACATTGCTTATCCTGTTGTACCATTTAACTTTGGAGACAGAACTCAAAGATCTGTTATCAAAGACAACTAGTCTTTTCATGTCTTCCATTTTCAGTAATGGACGAGGACATAGAGAACTGTTGCACGGTACACACGTCCTTTGATCAATAGTAGAATATCACGTCTACGCCAGAGATGACGTAAGTTGGCGAGTGACACACAGGTCTTTTGCATCCGTGCTGAGATTTCTTCAGAAGTAATAATAATAATTGCTTTATTCTAGACAGTACTTTCGGTACAAATATGGAATTTTCAGCATGTAATATAATATTACATCTAAAGGCACAGGAACAATTTTAATAGCCTTCCGGGAAGCAGTCATAGTGTTAGTGCAAAATGATTCATTGAAAATACCAGCGAGAGGATGACATAAAATGTCAGAGCATTTATTGAGGATAACAGCTGTTTCACCTTTTTTTTCTCGGAGAAGCCTTTTGAGTTGTGAAAAGAAGCGGTTAAATCTTAGAAGAATGTCTTTTTTGGACGGCAAACATCAAGAAATAATTTGAGATAACATGTTATGTTTGTGGTTGTGTCATCTAGAACTTGCTCAGTAAATATGTCTCGATTTGTATCATTTAAATCGCTTCTTAGATTCTGTATATTATCATGGGAGTAACATCTATGCTGCGTTTTCTAGTCAAGTAGCAAAAAGGCCCTTTTGTGCAGCTTTCCATATATTTTCGTTAATTTGTGTATGATACAATGATAAGAACTAAATAGTGTACTATTTCCAATGAGTTTTCTGAATGGGGTGGACTGGATAATGAGACAGACAGACGGGCAGTGAGGAAACAGGCATAAGATGGACTCACACAAAACACTTGGAGGATCTGGATTTCGCCGATGATATTTGTCTGATTTCCCACAAACTGGAATATATGCAAATGGGAGCCAACAGGTTGGCAGAAAAAGCATTCAGAGTAGATAGAACTTCAGGTGAACATAGAGAAAACAGAGTTGACGAACATTCCTGGCCAACAGCAACAAAATCAACAGATAACATTCAGCCAGCATAAATGATAGAAATCTTAAAGAAGCAACCTCCTTCACCAACCGATGTGGGAAGCATCGTTTCAACTACAAGCGGAATTGACGAGGATATCAAAGCAGAGATGATTGGGAAAGCAAGGCAAGCTTTCATTACTCTCAAGTCTGTGTGGAGGTTAACAGCACTCAACATGAAAAATAAGATCCGGATTTTCAACTCCAATGTGAATTCAGTGCTACTATACGCATCAGAGACTTGGCGCCGCGTCACGAAAGGCACTTCGAACCTTCATCAAGAGCCGTCTTTACTCATTACTCAAGATCAGATGGCTGGCCAGAAAACATAAGCAACAGAGGTCTCTGGGAATGAATGGACAAACTAGGAACCGATTGTGCAATAAATATGCAGTAAGAAATGGAGATGAATTGGCCATACTCTGAGGAAACCATCAAGTGACATCACACGCCAGGCCATCATTCGAGTGGAACTCGAAAGGGAAGCGGCGAGTTGGTCGTCATTTCGATGGTGACGTGGAGGAAGTCATGTGAAGAGGAGATGAAAGTATGTGTGCAGACGTGGATCCAGGTGAAAACGTTGGTAGAGAACCGAAAGCAATTAGGACGTGCGCCTGAAGCCCTATTTTCCTCTAGGAACTAAAGGAAACAATAATAATAATAATAAATAGTAGGGAATCATTCCATTGGGGGTGATACGGTTTCCTAAGTGAGTGAAGTGGTGGCAACACATTCAACCAGTTCAATCCCTATCTGTAACCTGTGAATTTAAAGATAGCACGTAAAAGATCCCGAAGCAACAGTACACACAGAGTGTAAGATCAAAAACACTGAGAATTTCATATGAAGCAAAGTATAAAGTCTTAGCGTACTATTAGACTATAACACTATGTGTTAGTTGATAATGTAACTCTATTTTCTTTATGTTAACTAAATCTTACTAAGTTTGTCCTTAAGTTAAAGGTGAATCACAATAATTTTTCACAGTACTTTTAATTATAATCAATAATGTTATTGCTTTTATTATTATCATCATCATCATTATTATTGGTAATTATTCTGCAGATTATCTTGTTTTCGTCTCCTGATTTTGTGAATTCATTTCACTTGTTTCGCATTTCTGCAGTGAAGTGTAGTGTAGCGTAGTGCAGTGCAGATGATGAGAATAATGTTTTTGAAATATGTTTAAATAATCACCAAAAATCAATTTTCCTGAAGAAACACATGACGTTTCTCTCTTAATTAGACATTAACTGTAATAAGATGGATCGATTAGCACTAAAAGTGGAAGATATCATAACATATATTCTCGATAGCTAGCTATTCAATGGACAGATGAAATACAATGTAGTACTTTTAAGCTGTCATAAAGTACACGCACTGCGGTTATTTCATCAAATAAGCCGGATTAGATTTAACGATTAGTAGCAAATACATTATTACGGAGACACGGTACTTTATATCGATTGAATATGGGGAGTAATGTTAGTAAGGGTTAGGCCTTGAGTGTTAGATAAAGATGGTTAGTCAATCGATGAGCTTGTGAAACTACATCGATTGAGATAGCTAGGACACGTGTTACCTATGTCAAGCCACTGCCTTCCTGAGGAATGTTAGGTGATATAGGATTAGGTTAGAAAAGAGTTAGGAGTGGTGAGACCGAAACCTGTTGTCAGTTCATGAAGTCGTTGACAGTTGATTTAAGTCATCTAGGTTGGTGTAAACTGTGTGATTGGAGTCTACAAGATATTCAAAGCTAATGTCTCGAGATTATTGATGGTATTTCCAAAAGTTTTTGTCAGTAGTTCAGATGAGTTCATCCTCTGTAATCTTCTACAAACACTAAACCATCGTGTTTTTCCATGTTACTTTTCTTTCTCCTGCAGATTTCTGCTTATTATAGTTTTGTTGAATCCCTTTTTCCTTTGGTTTCTCTTCCTTTGTGTGTGTGTATTGAGAGTGGCAACATGAACTGCTGCACTTCTTCGGGTACTTCTGTGCTGAAACTCAGTCAGTCGGCCAGATCCAACACAGATATTTTATAAAGTTTGGTTTGTAAGGGTTAGTTTTGTTTCTGCGAGTTGATCACGGACTGCTATCAGTTAGTGA